GAAGAAAAACTCCCTTACAAGTGTCAAACTGGATGAAATTTTAAATTTTTTTTTAAAAAAAAAAGAGAATTCATTCATATAACCAAAGATGTACAAAGAACGACATGATACAGTGACCTTGTTAAAACCTTCATAGCACAACCTCATGGGACAAACCCAAGGAAAGGAAAGAGTACCACACATGTCACATGGTGTATAAAAAAGAGTCCAAGTCAGGTCATTTTGGACCATTACAATAAAAGAACAAATCAAAAACGAAAACTAACACATAGACCTCCGACGAGAACCGCAACTATAGACCAACACAGTAGACCCACATGAAAGGACTGCAGAACATCCCAACTGCCAAACGAAGAATTCTATGAGCAATATCATAGTCCTTTGACACCCACACAAACTACAAGGCATACCATAGAAGAAACCAGGAGAGAACACGTAGGAGGAACACATAAACAACAGTAAAAGGACCCCTGAGAAGCACTCCACTTCAACTCAGAACCGAACAAAGAAAACCTCCTATGACCAAGCATAGTTCTTTGGTCGGTGCAGAGTAGAGAAGAGCACCATATCCCAACAACTACCACCAACGTCGTTACTGCTGCAGCCGTTGAAACAGAGACAAAATATTAGCCACCAGGTATCACAACTCTCTCGAGGAGAGACACAGGCCAGCATCACCACACAAACAACAATAAAATGACCCATGAGAAGCCACCTAAAACACTGCAAAAATAATATTAAAAAAAACAAACAGACAAACAGACCTAGATCCAAACAAATCTAGACTATCTGGGGAGGAGAAGAGGGGATAAGAGGAAAGGAAAAGGTGGGAGAAAAAGAATGGGAGATGAGGAGAGGAAGGGGAAGATGGGTGGAGAGGAGGAGGGGCAGTGGCCACCTCCCCTCTTAGCTTCCTTGCGGTTGGAAAAGGGGGACCAGGTTGCAACTAGGGTTTTAAGTTTGAACTTTTATACAAATAAATTAAACTACAATTTTTGTACATGAAAAATAACAATTTTGTAATAAAAACAATAATTCTCCAATACCTAGATATAAAAAGTCACATTCTCATAAAATAAAAATCATAAAATTATAAATCCCAAAAATAAACTATAAAATAACCATAATCTATATAAATTTATAAATAATCATAATCAATATACATTTTAACAAATTTAATCATATCCTCTCCACTAATTGCTTAAATGGACATTAAAAATTTAATAGCAGTTGTAAATTTATAAAAGACAAAATTAGGTCTTCAAAAAATATACCCAATTGCAGTCCCGGACACACACAGATTTCAAACATTACAAAAACCTAGGAAATGTAAAAGAGAAAATTTTATAAAAAAAATCCAATATTGTATGTCAAATATTTATAGAAAAAAAATGAAAATTTTCCATTGAATTCAAGCTTTATCCTAACCTAAAAACTATTGAAGAATATAAGTCCCACATCGGAAACTTGACTAAAGAAAATACAATATATAATGAACGGTTCCATTACTAAAATCATCAAGGCCTTTTGTGATAAAAACTCCACACCTATTGGGCTTTGTAGGTAGTTAAGTTGGGGACAATATCGGTGTTGCTAGTAGTGGACCCCTGCCCATCTCTCTGAAATTTTACATTGTATCGAAGCGGGTTGATTGATTAGGCCTGAATTAGGCCTTTACCTTTACCCAATATGTGGTGTTCACATGTTGGGCTTGAATGTTTACCCTTACCCAATATGTGGTTTTCACGTGTTGAACTTGAATGATTGACTCCAATGTGGACTTGGCTCTACGTGTGGCCCATTATGTGGTGGTCCGACGTGAGGGGGTGTGTTGAAGAATATAAATCCCACATCGGAAACTTGACTAAATTGTTGGCTGCGCAAATCTCATGACCTGGAGCTCCGGGCCGAGGGGATATGCGTTAACACGTGGCTTCCTTCTTTTGGATGCGGTGCGGTTGTGCGCGGGCGTGCCAGCACGGTCTACCGTGCATCGAGATGGTGATATGGGTGAAATGGTTAAGTGGTGCGCCTGTTTGAGTTCGACTCCTAATCAAACGATTGTGGCCGAGAGTGGAACTGATCTCGGCCGTCAAGTTCATGGCCTGAGCTACAAGGCCGTTTAATGGTAGTGTTGATGGTGGATTTTGGGCGTTGCTCCGGCGCGCTGCTCAGGGAGCGACGGTCGTATGATATATGGGATGAATGAAAGAGTAACAGAGATGGTGCTTCGGCGCCTTGAAAATCAAGGGTCGTATAATATATTGATGAATGGATTTTCCTTACAACCTAACACTACTCCTAGGAAAGCAAGTAAAGATATTGAAAGTGCATTACAGGAAAATATAATTTGCTCCGTGGGAGGCTTTTGGTTTGGTGTTTGAACTCTTTGAATGTAGCTTGAGTTCGAAATTTTTAGGAAGAGCTCTTGGAGGAGTAATCGAGGCTGAAAATCTGCATGGTGGAGCTTGATCAGAGCAAGTGGGTAGTCCAATCGACATTTGGGATCGTGAAGCATGGTGGTGTGACCTCCTGAATCCTGGTAAATCTCGGCCGCCGCCCTGATCGTGGGTTCTGCGGTTCTGGCCGTGGGGACGCATTAAATGCCCTGGTCTGGTGGTTGGTGATCTGACCTTATGTTGTAAGAATATTTATAAGTATGTTTGCACCTAACCACTCTGATCTCTATCACCAAATCCTGACTTTAGTCACTTCCCTTCTTCCCTCGTGCATTAAATGCCCTTTTACGGCTAGTGGGTTTGCTAGTCAGAGGCGTTACTTCATTAAATGAAGCGTGGGACCCGGCTGCCTCGTGGCGATTTGACTCTAATCCCTTCGGTCGTGACTCCTTCGTCTTTCGGCCTCGGCCCATAATGCCGCGGTCGAGGCCGAGATGTTTATGCCTTCGCAGCTTTTCCTTTGTTTTTAGGAAGGCCAAACATCTGACAAAATGCCACGTTTTAGTTAATGAATAGGTGCTAAGGCCGAGGAAGGTCCTTTCGGCCAATTTATGGCCGTGATTTATTAGGCACAAACATTGCCCCCACAGCCCCGGATTCTTCAGTCTCGGCATGGGAAGAGGCCGAATGGATTCCAGGAGATGGACCCTTTGCATTCCTTCTGAAGTGATTGACAACTGGTGCATTAAATGCGCAGGTCAGTCGGCGCATTTAACGCCCAAGCACGTTGTGCAGGCCATCATTGCCCAGACTTACGCGAGGCGTCGCTTCATTTCGTCAGATGAAACGACGGCCTCTAGGCATCCGACACGTCATCGCGCTTTTTGAGCACGCTGTTAGATCGTTACGTCTCGAGAGAGAGCCATGCCCTTTCATTTCGAATTCTAGCGCCAATATAATAACCCAAACTTCTTCGTTTCTTCTTTACGCTCTCAGAATTCTCAGACGCCCAAGCTTTGCCAAAGTTCTCTCTCAATCCTTCAATCCTATCAAGCTCTCGAGTCTCCAAGTTTACCAGGGAATCTTGCCTGAAACCACGACTCTCTTTTACTCTTGAGTTTCGACTTTCTAAGAACCCACAGATTCTCAGCCTATTCTGGGTTTTCCTTCTGTGTTCTTCGCGTTTATTGCCTTTTTCTCTGCACTTCTCTCCCAAACACCCAACCTCGATCTGTTTCAATGGCCTCCAGTACCTCTACATCTGTTGAAGCTCGGTCCCAAGCCTTTCAGACTGAGTTTGAAGACATTTGCCGAGAAATCCAGGGCTCGGTCCTACCTAACATCATCATGCCTTGGACTGATGATGACGGCGCCGCCACCGATTCCTGCGTCCTCGGCCCCTCTGTTGATGGCGGAATGCCAGAGAGGCTAGTGGCTCATTTAAAAAACAATCTAGTGGACCTCTGGGCCTTTGACGTGGGGGACTTCCAAGATTGGAATGTCGCCAGGCCGCAGCCCCAATGGCCAACCTCGACCCCGGACTGGGAAAAATGGCTGCCGAGGATGGAGCACTTCTTCGGCCAGCAATAGAAGGATCAAGGTATCTACCACTTGATCAAGCTGTTCGATCGGCCGCTCGTTATGGACCGGTCGCTCTTGGCCACGGCCCTATGCTTCTAGTCGTCGGCCACAAACACCATGAACTTAAGGTTTGGCATGATGACGCCGACCGTCCTTGACATGGCCGCCCTGTTCGGCCTCTCTCCTCTCAGCGTAGAAGTGAACGCCGCACTTGTTGCCCCTGAGGCAGAAGGGAGCTTCAAGGCCGCCTGGCCCGCGGTTGCCAAGATAGCTGGGAGCAAGGCAAAAAACATGCTCAACTACTCCAGCTTCTACAGTAACTTCGGTGTGGAAGACAGCGCCGAAGACGACGTCATTACCCCACTTGGCGAAGTTGAGCATGCCGAACAGGTGAACAAGGTTACCTTAGAGTTTGCCCACTTGGCCGATTATCTTGCACAGGGCGGCAGGCTAGCGCTCGGTCCATTCCTACTCGGCCACATCTACCGCACGCTTCATGATGTTGTCGTCGACGGGATGAAGCCGAAGCACGGCGGTCCACTTTGGGCTTTCCAATTCTGGCTGCAAGCTTACTTCCCGGAGCTGAGGGCGGTGGCCAGTATCACCGACATCGAGCCGTTGGCCAACGTATTTTCCCGAGCCCCCAGGAAGCATAATACCTCGACCTTCTGCTACAAATTTTTCTATGGCTAGGTCGAGAGAACTGGTATGCAATTCCGCGTCTGCCTTACTCGGCCATTCCCTCTGTTCCTGGTGCACGACTTCTCCGTCATTCCTGACAGCGAGACGGAGAACGACCTGAAGGAGATCTGGGGCTCATTCCTAGTTGCGCGCGATCTTCACTGCGGTCTGTCCAAGGCCGGGGCCGAGGTTTATCTGCCGAACTTCATGGCGCGGCAATTCGGCCTGATTCAGACAGCCCCGCTTCTCCCGTTTTCCACTAACCGGCTCTCATCTTGGAGGGCCGACGTCGCCCAACAGCACGGCGTGGCTGGCATTTCCTTTCAACTTTAAAAGGGGATGACCTTCCTCACTCTGACGCCTTGGTTGCATCGTAATGTGTATGACGAGGATGGAAGGGTCTGGTACGAGGAGTGCATCTCGGCCAGATTTATTCGGCCTATTGAAGAGGCTGTGAGGGGGGCTTTGAAGAACGCTGATTGGGACCCCCTCCCTCCCCAGGCTGGCAAGGGGAAGAAGGCCTCGGCCGTGCTTTCTCGACCGAGTACGCCAGCCGCGGCTATACCCAGGGTGGCGGCCCCTCCTTTGGCCGGAGCAGCGATTGTGACTTGAACCGCGGCCCCAACCTCCTGGGCGCCGGCTGTGGTGGGGGCGCGAAAAACTTTGGCGCATAGCACCGTGCCATCCTCCCCGCCGACTAGACCGATTGCTGCTGTTGGTAAGCCCTCTTTCTTTACGCTTTTTCGTCGGCCTCTCAGAGCGACTTTTGTCCTTATTTATTCTACCGCTTACTTCTCTCGCTTCTTCCTTCTTTTCTTTGTATATGCAGCCCCAGGTCGTAAGAGGGGTAGAGAGGCTGCGAATGCCGAGGTCGCAGTAACCGAGGACACTCCGGCCGAAAGGGTCGCGGCCGAGGCGGAGGCATCGGAGAGGCCGACGAAAAGGGCCCTCCCTCTTCTCTTGGAGGGTGAGGATGAGGAGGAAGTCCCCTCTGTGATTGTGAGTGAGGCCCCTCCTGTGATCGTAAGTACATCCTCATTTTTCCTCTTTAATCTGTCTTACGCCATACCTAGATGCTAATGACTTGGTTTTCTCACCAGGCCCCGACAACGAGCGCCGAAGTTGTTGTCATGGGGGCGCCAGTTGCCGAGGCGACCACTGCAGAGGCGTCAGGCACCGAGGTGATCGTTACTGAGGTGCCGGACGCTGGGATGGCCGTCATAGAGGCACCGGCCGATGAAGCAGTCACTCCTGAATCGCCGGCTGGTGAGGCGACCGAAGCAGAGGCAACGGCTGGTGGTGATGGCTGTGCCGTCACTGGTTGCTACAGTTCCAGTTGAGCTGCCCCTGGTCGCCCCACGCCGTTCTAGCGGTATCGTGTTTCGCTCGGTAAGTGTTTTAGTTTCATCATGAGTTAGTTTCTTCTCATATTTGTGATGCGAGACCCTGATTAACGAGCTCTGTTTTCAGCCTCCCAGACCATTATCGCCTTCGTCCCCGGCTCTTATTATACCGAGCTCGCAGGTTGTCCCGGCCGTCATGTCTATGCCTCTGGCCCCTACGTCCCAAGAATCGACGGTCGCCACTGAGCTCGCAATGGTTGAAGCTACAGCCACTGGTGCACCGAGCCCGCCGCCGGTCTCTTCGACGGTCTTGACCGAGCTCGCAGTTGCAGAAGTCCTTGCCGCGCCGTCGGTCGCTGAAGTGAGTACTTAGACTTTCCTTAGCATCCCTCATCTCTTAGTTGGCGGTGTCGTATCCGAACTCCTTCTTGTTTTCTTCTCTTCAGGAGCCTGCCTCCTCAGATGACCTTGCCGAACTGTACACTAGCCTCCATGAGGAGGGAAGCAGCTCGGCCTCAGCCCCTTTGGACGAGGATTCCAGGGCCACTGTTGAACGGCTCTGAGAGTTCCTTTTCTTGGGGGTCCATCAAATGACCACCGCCAAGGTTTTCATGGAGTTCAAGTCTTGCCTGGACACAGCTATGGCTCTTGGTTTGCTGGATTCGGCCCAGCTGGACGAGCTGCAGGCCCGCTTGGCCGAGGGCGAGGAAATGATCGGTCAATTTGCGGAGGCCAGTATGAGGATGACCGAGGGATGCTCGCTTGAGCAGGAGCTGGCCGAGATAAAAGAACAAGTCCAACCTGCCATGGCTCGGTTGAAGGAAAATGAACTCGTTCTCCAAAGAGAGAACGAGGAGCTTGCACAGGTTGAGGCCCAAATCGCCGAGCTCCAGGCCCGTCGGGATCTCATCCTTGGGCGCCGAGACGGCGCGGTTGCGGCTGGTGCCGAGCTGAAGTCTTCGGCCAGGCAGATCCTCAAAGCAGCGACCGAGAAGAAGAAGGCATTGGCCGAGAGGAAGCTGATCCGGGCGAGGTGGCAGGCGGATATAGACGGCGGGGACATCGCTTGGAGGAGGATCACCTGCTTGATTTGGGGGATGTTCAGCGAAGGGGTCTAGGCGGGCGGGCGGGCGTTTAAAGATTTTAGGGTGTGATTTTATATAGACATATATATGTATATTTTTGCTCGGCCAAAAATGGCCGTTGTTTGTAAATATGAACCCTTTAATTTAAATACAAAGCATGGGCCTCCTTTTCTGAACGATCGAATATATACTCATTTGCTTTAATTTCACCGCACCATTCGTTTAACCCGCTCGCCTACTTCCCCCTCTTTTTCTTTTTGACCTTTTTGTCGTAGGTCCTTGGTGCCATTTTTTCTTGATCTTGCGCCGAATTGTAAGCGTCGAGTCTCGACTGTTCTAAATTTTCTAAACCCCGAGGCAAGGCTTCCGTGTAGTTCTTCCCCTCTCGTTCAGGTTGCTTGGTAATTCGGAGAAATCGAACCTTTAGCTCTATTGGTACATCAGTGTCATGGCCGTAGGCCGAGACATGAGGAAATGTACCCGTGGCCGAGTGCTTCGATATGCGGTATGTCCAAAAAGGCATAAGGAGCAAATCATGCCGAGCCCTGGGTTTTTCTGATGAGTACGGCTCAGTATACCCTGGTGCCTCCGGCCGTTTCTGAGCTAGGCCGTCCTTGGTCATACACCGGATATCTTCAAACCGAAGCCCTCGAGAGGCCATCTCCTGTTGGGCCGCAAATGGCTGTGGGACCTGTTGCATATCGTTCTGTGGCCTTATCTGCTAGGCCACTTGAGCTGGGGCCTCGGCCGGTGCGACCGGGCTGGGTGGCACTAGATGAGTGCCATGGGTCTGACCAGGGTGCGTGTGTGTTGCCGTCGAAATGGCCGAACCGTAAGGAAGGTGAGAGCCTAGTGGAAATAACAACGCCTGCAATGGTGGTGAAACGGTCGGATTGCTCTGATCGTACTGTTGTGATGAAGCAGCAGTCGCGTTGCCTGGGCCAGGCTGGGTCTGGACGGCCAAAGTATGAACGGGGCCGAGTTGGTGGACCGCAGAAAGCGTGGGGCTACTTTGCCCTAATGATACGGCCAGAGCGTGGAGTAGGCCGTATGCTGCTTCTGCCGGGTAGGTCGGCCTGAGGTTCGCCCACATGGGCTGGGACTGCCCCCAGCTGTTCGTCGGCGGCAGAGAATGCTGGCCATAACCTGACGCTTGGGTTCGGCCAGAGATGTCGAGGCTGCTGCTTTCGCCGTAAGGCTCGATCCTTTCGCACTCTTAGCTTCTCTGTCTGGCTCTAGGAGGTGTTGTGGGCGTGGTCGCCGGCATCCTCTCCTGGAAAAGCGTCCGCAGTTCCGAGGAAAACCTGTCCATTGCAGCCATAAAGGATGTCTCTATCCTGTGGGCCTGTTTAGACATCAGATCTTCTACCACGGCTTGTTCTTGTATGGACTTGGCCGTGCGATCCGTCGTTATTGGGACGCTGGCCGAGATTCTGACCGCATGTTCGGTATCGGTGACAGTGATTGGTGAGGTGGACTCAGGAGTCTCAGAAGTCATTTCGACTGTTTTGTTTTTGAGTTTTGCCTGTGCCTAGTTTCCACCATGAGTTTTTGACAAGGGTCCAACCGAGCGTGCCAAAAGTGTTGGCTGCGCAAATCTCACGGCCTGGAGCTCCGAGCCAAGGGGATATGCGTTAACACGTGGCTTCCTTCTTTTGGATGCGATGCGGTTGTGCGCGGACGTGCCAGCACGGTCTACCGTGCGTCGAGATGGTGATATGGGTGAAATGGTTAAGTGGTGCGCCTGTTTGAGTTCGACTCCTAATCAAACGATTGTGGCCGAGAGAGGAACTGATCTCGGCCGTCAGGTTCACGACCTGAGCTACAAGGCCGTTTAATGGTGGTGTTGATGATGGATTTTGGGCGTTGCTCCGGCGCGCTACTCAGGGAGCGACGGTCGTATGATATATGGGATGAATGAAAGAGTAACAGAGATGGTGCTCCGGTGCCTTGAAAATCAAGGGTCGTATGATATATTGATGAATGGATTTTCCTTACAACCTAACACTACTCCTAGGAAAGCAAGTAAAGATATTGAAAGTGCATTACAGGAAAATATAATTTGCTCCGTGGGAGGCTTTTGGTTTGGTGTTTGAACCCTTTGAATGTAGCTTGAGTTCAATATTTATAGGAAGAGCTCTTGGAGGAGTAATCGAGGCTGAAAATCTGCATGGTGGAGGCTCAACGTTGGGGATGAAGATTGAAGGAAACGATTGCGACCTAATCTATCGGGGTTGGGTTGCGCTCAAACGTAGCTTATTCGAGTTTATCCCATAGTTTTCGTTAGGGGTGGGCAAGGTCCAGTTCTCACCCTAAATCGGAACCGACACTATTTAATAAAAAAAATTATTCATTCCAATACAGCTCAATTTCATGCAAAATGAGGTGATTGAGCCTAGAAAAGATAGGTGATTTGGAGAAAGATTAGTTATTGGCTTAGAAATTTAGCAACCGGGTTTAAATATTTATTAAAAAATTAAAAAATACATAGTCGGTCTGGTTCAACTCGATCAAGCTTTTTCACTACAAGAATCAAAACTAAAACTGTACAAAATAGCGATTTTTGGTCAACCCAGTTTTTCTCGGCTTAGTTTTCCAGTTTTTTAGTTTGAATGTACACCCCTAGTTTTTTTTGGGGGGTAATCCTACTAAAATTGAGCCTGACATGATTAGAATTTCGAAGTAATCCAATCCAAGTGAACTTGGGCCACCAAACACAGGAGTAGGATTCTAGATCCAATCAGTGTTTCTATCCATCCACCAATGCAAAAACAAAAATAAATAAATAAACAAATAATCTTCTAACAAGGATATCACTGTTTTGTTATCCTCGGCCAATAATGCAATGACAAATAGAAGAATTATCCGCATGTCATTGCGCTATTGGTCGGGGATAACAAAAAGTCTAATCCCCGTTGCTTGAAAGTCTCTCTCACTACTACAAAAAACGAAATAGACGACGGGGATCCACCGTCGTTGTAATGCTTTGAAATCCGTCGTTAAATCGACCGCCGTCTATTTGGGTGTCAAACTACGACGGCTTTTCACCGTCGTTGTTTATCTGTAAAGACGACGGTTTTTAAAGAAAATTGTCGTTGTTTAAAGGTATAGATCGTTAATTATAGGATGAAAGACGACGGTTTTAAAAACCGTCGTGTATTGTATGTAAAGATGACGGTTTTTTATGAAAACTGTCATCTTTACATACAATAGACGACCATTTTAAAAAAAAAAAACAGTCATCTTTACTTCACAATAGACAACCCTTTTAAAAAAAACCGTCATCTTTACATATAATAGATGACCCTTTTTTAAAAAAAAAAACCGTCATCTTTACATATAATAGACGACTCTTTTTAAAAAAAAAACGTCATCTTTACCTATAATAGACGACCTTTTTTATAAAAACCGTCGTTAATTATCTGTAAAGATCATGATTTATTATAAAAACCGTCGTCTAATAAATTCCCAAATTGCTACATTTTAGTTCTTTTTGATTTCCTATGATGCTATACAACGATTTTAACTAGAAAACCAACCATAATGCTTTATTAATGAATATATACACTCAAAAATAGTTTCTTTCATAAAATTTGAAGATTCAATAGTTATTACATAGTTAACCAATCTTTATTTTACAACAAACATAATTCCTAACAAGACCTACGTACTCCTAATCCAAGCCTTCCTCATCCAAACATACAAATGGTGCACAACTGAAGTCTCCTCCATCATCCTTGTAAATAAATCAAAATGACAAAGAGAGAAAAAAAAAAGCTAAGATTATAAACATAAAAAATTAGGTGGAAGAGAAATTTTACCATTAGACCATATTTCCATAGAAAACTTGTAAAATGAGCATAAAAAAGACCATCGAGAACCTGCAAAAGAAAAAATATATAAATAAAATGATAGTGAAACGAGAAGGGAACAAATTTTCAACAACAAAAAAACATACGACTCACATAGAAAACCTGCAAAAGAAAAAGTTATAAATCTGCAAGCTTCCTCCTCATCTCCTGATAATAAAATCAGAAAATCTAAAAAGAAACAAGAAATATTTACAAAAAAGCGTCAACTTTACATATAATAGACGACCCTTTTTTAAAAAAAACCGTCATCTTTACTTCACAATAGACGACCCTTTTTTACAAAAAAAACGTCATCTTTACATATAATAGACGACCCTTTTTTAAAAAAACCGTCATCTTTACTTTACAATAGACGACCCTTTTTTACAAAAAAGCGTCAACTTTACATATAATAGACGACCCTTTTTTAAAAAAAACCGTCATCTTTACTTCACAATAGACGACCCTTTTTTACAAAAAAAACGTCATCTTTACATATAATAGACGACCCTTTTTTAAAAAAACCGTCATCTTTACTTTACAATAGACGACCCTTTTTTACAAAAAAGCGTCAACTTTACATATAATAGACGACCCTTTTTTAAAAAAAACCGTCATCTTTACTTCACAATAGACGACCCTTTTTTACAAAAAAAACGTCATCTTTACATATAATAGACGACCCTTTTTTATAAAAAAAAAAACCGTCGTCTTTACATATAATAGACGACAGTTTTTTTTATAAAAAGCGTCATCTTTACATATAATAGATGACCCTTTTTAAAAAAAAACCGTCGTCTTTACATATAATAGACAACGGTCTTTTTTTTAAAAAGGGTCATCTTTACATATAATAGACGACCCTTTTTTATTAAAAAAAACCGTCGTCTTTACATATAATAGACGACAGTTTTTTTTATAAAAAGCGTCATCTTTACATATAATAGATGACCCTTTTTAAAAAAAAACCGTCGTCTTTACATATAATAGACGACAGTTTTTTTTATAAAAAGCGTCATCTTTACATATAATAGATGACCCTTTTTAAAAAAAAACCGTCGTCTTTACATATAATAGACAACGGTTTTTTTTAAAAAAGCGTCATCTTTACATATAATAGACGACCCTTTTTTAAAAAAACCGTCATCTTTACTTTACAATAGACGACCCTTTTTTACAAAAAAGCGTCAACTTTACATATAATAGACGACCCTTTTTAAAAAAAAACCGTCATCTTTACTTCACAATAGACGACTCTTTTTTATAAAAAAGCGTCATCTTTACATATAATAGACGACCCTTTTTTTTAAAAACCGTCATCTTTACTTCACAATAGACGACTCTTTTTTATAAAAAAGCGTCATCTTTACATATAATAGACGACCCTTTTTAAAAAAAATCGTCATCTTTACTTCATAATAGACGACCCTTTTTAAAAAAAAACCGTCATCTTTACATATAATAGACGACAGTTTTTTCAAAACAACCATGTCTTTACCAAAAAAAGGACACTTGATTTTTAAAAGACGACGCTTGTCATATCTGCTGTCGTCGTTTTTTGGTCAGATTTTAACTCTGAAGAAAACCTTTTTAATAAGAAGACGCTTTTTTATTTGTGTGCGTCGTTATAAAAAAATATTCAATAGTACCTCCGTTTTTTAGTTGTTTAAGTCACTTATCCACGACGGTTTTTTTTATACCGTCATCTTTTTAAACACAACGACGGTTTTTTCTTCTACCGTCGTCTTTTTCACTTTTTGTAGTAGTGTCTACACCAAATGGGGCCTTTGTAGTTACTAATAAAGATCCAAGTACTAATGCTAGGGTTCAAGTAGGGGTAACACTATTCGAGAGGGTTCTGGTGATTATATTTTGTAAATTAAAAAAAGGGGCTAATAATCTTAAACATGTTAAAAATGGTTTGGTGTTCCAAATTTTGCTAAATAAAGTGCATAATAATTACTAGAGGCAATAGGCGATTAACATAAAATGTTGAAAAGACAACCAGAAAGTAAGATAATAATTGACAATAACACCTATTTTTCCTACTTTGTTTTTTCTTCTTTTTGGAACAAATTATTAACATAAATAATATATAACCTTGAGTTAGACCACCTGAGTGGCACCACTGGATGGATATTTTTGACCGTGTGACGTATCATCGGAGTAAAGCTCATGCCTAGTAACATCATGCAATTGTTCCTTCTCCCCATCACCCCACAATGCATATGCCTCTTCTCCATGCACTGCGTCATCCCCAATCAGCAACTGTTCCTCCGGCATGCGCAACGGAACTATACACCGTAAGACTAGGCAAATAATGGAGGTGGCCACAATATTCCATCCAATGATAAATAGGGCTCCTACAATTTGTTTGAGGATTTGCATTCCTCCAGAGCCTCCGTACACACCTCCGCGCGAGTTTGTGACGGGCAAAAAGAGTGCACATAGTTCAGGCTCAGCAAAAAGCCCCGTTAAAACACCGCCAAGAAAACCGGCCACGGCGTGGGTGTGAAATACACCAAGGGTGTCGTCAACCGCGGATAGCAGTTTCCATCTCTTGTCCACTATCATCATGGTGAACCATGGCACACTGCCTGACATAACTCCCATCACTATAGCGGCCCATCCTTGAACAAGACCTAATTGATTTACATATATAAACAATAATATTGTATCAGTCTGTGAACAAACAAAACTAAAATAAAAGCTAGCTAGTTAATATGGTTAATTGATTGTGCATGGTCAACACAACATGCCATGAGTCATGAGAGATGTTAAAAGTTATACAATGCATCACATGTTACTTTACATCTCCTTTGCACTAGGCTAGACCCATCGGCATATAATTCAACTTTTCTTTTGAAAAAAGTCACCTTGAGAGGTTACTTAATACGTACCTGCAGCAGGAGTAATACAGACGAGGCCAGTGATCATTCCTTGGACAGCTCCAATGACGGAAGGCTTCTCAAAGAAGATGACATCGAGCCAAGTCCAAACCAATAAGCTCGTGGCGGCGCAGATGTTGGTGTTGAGGACGGCCATGGATGAGTCCGTGTTTGCTGCATACGGATCTCCCCCGTTGAAACCTGCCCATCCCATCCACAGCAACCCCGCTCCTGCTAACACCAGAAGTACGTTGTTTGGTGGAAATCTCTCCATGTCCTTCTTCACCCTTGGTCCTACCTATTCATAATCACCATTTCATTTTCATCAATTAACAAACAATAATAACTAATTAATACTCTCTTTTGTATATATATATTGCAATAAAAGCGATAGTGTAAACTACAAGGGAGAGAGAGTTTCTCACACACATACACACTATCAAGGTGTTATGAGGGTTCCAATATGAGATCTCTGATCTGCAAGTCAATGCTCTTTTCCACTATGCTAGATCCATTGACCTTTTCGTAGATTAAAGTAACTTAAAGTAATTTAGACTATGATTTCCATAAAATGTTATTAGAAAAACTAAAAATAAAACATCACATCCGTCACATTTCATATATTCAATTTTGTTTTTGTTTTTATTTTTGATGTCCACATCTATATGGTCCACCCTTGTTGAGTTTTTGTTAATCTCACAATAATGCATCCACGCTTCATTAATTCTTTAAGCTCTTAGTCATATCAACTTTTTGTCGTTTCCTAACCTGAACTATACATATTGATGAATATTGTGATCCATATACATTTGTAGGTCATCATCGTTAATATTATAACTTCGTACCCAATTAAAATAATAATATTCCAACCTAGTAGACTTTTTGTGACTTTTTATGGGGAATCTTGTATTCGAATCTGAAGACTTTTTGTTTCTTCTTCCACCTTTGCTGCGAACACGCACTGAAACCACACCATGGTCGCCATCGGGTACCAGGGTGTGGCCTCAGGAGTCTCCGCCATCGGGTACCAGGGTGTGGCCTCAGGAGTCTCCGCCATCGGGTACCAGGGTGTGGCCTCAGGAGTCTCCGCCATCGGGTACCAGGGTGTGGCCTCAGGAGTCTCCGCCATCGGGTACCAGGGTGTGGCCTCAGGAGTCTCCGCCATCGGGTACCAGGGTGTGGCCTCAGGAGTCTCCGCCATCGGGTACCAGGGTGTGGCCTCAGGAGTCTCCGCCATCGGGTACCAGGGTGTGGCCTCAGGAGTCTCCGCCATCGGGTACCAGGGTGTGGCCTCAGGAGTCTCCGCCATCGGGTACCAGGGTGTGGCCTCAGGAGTCTCCGCCATCGGGTACCAGGGTGTGGCCTCAGGAGTCTCCGCCATCGGGTACCAGGGTGTGGCCTCAGGAGTCTCCGCCATCGGGTACCAGGGTGTGGCCTCAGGAGTCTCCGCCATCGGGTACCAGGGTGTGGCCTCAGGAGTCTCCGCCATCGGGTACCAGGGTGTGGCCTCAGGAGTCTCCGCCATCGGGTACCAGGGTGTGGCCTCAGGAGTCTCCGCCATCGGGTACCAGGGTGTGGCCTCAGGAGTCTCCACAGTCTTGTGGTCACTGAAGTAGTGCGTGCTCGCAGGCAGAGCTGCCTGGTTGATGAGGAACTTCTGGCCCAAGGCAGGGCCAGCTTTGCCCCAGAAGGGTAGGAGCTTGTCCCCAAACGACATCTTGTAAGCCCACGACACCCAGCAGATTACGACGGCCGCAAAAGCGTAGAGAGCCATGAAAGCTGAGTTCACTGCCCATTTCTTTTTTACTATGCTTCCGTACAGGATGACAAGACCCGGCACGCTTTGGAGGCCGACGAGTGTGGCTGCTACCATTTGCCATGCGTTGTCCCCTTTGTTCAACCATACTGGCACCGCGCCGGCACCTCCCTGGTACGCAACCGGCACGGGGTTAGGAGGAGGACTAGCAGCCATGGCCTAACTAACTACTTTCAGAGCTGCAGAGACTTGAAGAAGCTTTTATTAATTATAAGTGAAGGGTTCGATTCTACGAATGCGATGTGTAGGGAAAGCCAAGATCCAAAATAAGGGTTTTATTCTTGACCAATTAACAGGGGGTGATAAGGGTTTTATTCTTGACCAATTAACAGGGGATAAGGGTTTAAAAACCATAAAAAATGGTAGGTGGAGATGGGGGTGAAGACCAAGTTGATGATTGGAGGAAAGGTTAGGCAACTTGGCATATATAATAAAAAATTTGGCATAAGTCCAATTATGAGGAGAGATTTTGGGTGCAATCCACGCAGAAATTGTTGTTGATCTAAGTCCTTTGACTTTCACTACTACAAAAAGAGAAAAAGACGACGGCAGAACATACAATCGTCGTTGTATTTCAAACAACGACGGTAAAAAAAAAACCCGTCGTGGATAAGTGCCTTACTGTTGAATATTTTTAAAAGACGACTTTCACAAATAAAAAAGCGTCGTTTTTTAAGAAAGGTTTTCTTCAAAGTTAAAATCTAACCAAAAAACAACGACAGCAGGTATGAATCCACCGATGTAGAACATAAAGACGACAGTTCACCAAAAAATCTGCCGTGTTAACTCCTAACTAAACACGACCAACTGTTCTTATTCCGCGTCGTATAATATAATGGAATCCACGTCTGTATACTACGACGGTGCCTTCTCTGTAAACCGCCATCTTAATTTTTCTTTCTTTTTAAGATTTAATTATTTTTTAATTTTGGTAGCCTACAAAAATTAAAATGAGATCCCAAGAGGTATGATATCTTACCTTTGAGATCTTTGGATCCTGATCATAATCGAACCACCAAAGTGAGAAAGACAATATTTTAAATACACAAAATCCAAAAAGAAACCAGAACTGAACTGACTACTGCAAACTTTGAGAAAGACAATGTTTTGAAAGTTAATGATGTGTGCGTCTTTTTGGTGTATGGATACACCAAAACGCATACATCATTAACATCCAAATTATTGTCTTTGAGATGTGAGAGAGAGTGATGATGAATGTGCGTATGTGAGAGAGGAAGACGAGCCTCCGGAGAGATCAGAAGAACTTGGAACCCTAAATGAAAACTGAAACTGAAAGAAAGAGTCAAATTTATAAAATAAATCTTTTAAACTCACGGCGGTCCTTATAGAAATACCGCCGTGTAATTGTAAAAAACCACGTCGGTTATTCTTTAATGGAATCCACGTCATATAATTTAATGGAATCCACGTCGTATAATGTAATATAATCCACGTCGGTATATTAAAAAAAAGAGACGTGTTAAATAATATACCATGACGCGAGAGATTAATTTATCGACTTATTATTTTGGAGTGTACAACGACGGTACCTACAACACTACTGTCGTGTTTATTTACCACGTCCTAAGTTCAAATTACCGTCTTATTTTTTCAATTTATACGTCTTCCTTCTCTGTAAACCGCCGTCTTATTTTTATAGCTTTTTAAAATTAATTAATTATTCTTTTATTTTGGTAATAACACAAAACAAAATTTAATTCTCAATCCTCAACAACATTTTCATCTTAAAAGGCAAATCTCTTCCTTTTGTTCATCTTAAAATTTAAAATTTCATTTCCTCTTGATCAATATTTACACAATATATATGTGTACAAATTAGGCAAATACATCGTGGTTTCTTTTCTGCCTTCACCCTCAGCTTGTTCA